TAAAAGTTAAGTTTTTTGCATTTTTCCACGCACAAACAGCATTACACGGACAATATTATTGCTGTGATACTTTTTACTATTTTGAAACACAAATATTTGTGTTCAGCGAAGTCTCCCGAGTACAACAGTACCCCTCATGTACAGGTTTTATGGTGTTTTCAAAAGTTACAGCGTCAAATATAAGGCTTGCGTTTCATTTTTTTCACATTAAAATTCGCCAGATTGGTTACGTTGCCTTTGAGACCCTATGGTAGCCCAAGAATGAAAATTACCCCTATGATGGCATACCATTTGCAATAGTAGACAACCCAAGGTATTGCAAACGGGGTATGTCCAGTCTTTTTTAGTAGCCACTTAGTCACAAACACTGGCCAAAATTGGCGTTTTTTTTGCATTTTTCACACAAACAAATACTAACGCTAACTTTGGCCAGTGTTTGTGACCAAATGGCTACTAAAAAAGACTGGACATACCCCATTTGCAATACCTTGGGTTGTCTACTATTGCAAATGGTATGCCATTATGGGTGTAAATTTCATTCCGGGCTACTATACAGTCTCAAAGGCAACGTAACCAATCTGGCGAATTTCAATTTCAAATGTAACGTGCTATATTTGACCCTGTAACTTCCCAAAACGCCATAAAACCTGTACATAGGGGGTACTGTTTTACACGTGAGACTTTACTGAATACAAATATGTGTATTTTATTGCAGTAAAAGCAAACAGTATTATGACACTGACCTTTAAAATGTCATGTAGAACTAAAAAAATATAAAAAAATCTTATTTTCTCCCATTGTTTTCATATTAAATTATGTTTCATAGCTAAATATTTGATATTAAATGAAAGCCCTGTTTCCCCTGAATAAAATGATATATAATAAGGGTGGGTGCATTTACTATGAAAGAGGTGAATTACGGTTGGACAGACATGTAGCGCAAATGCCAGGTTTTGTTTACATTTTGTTTTGTTCACAACGTGTACATTTGGCTCCGTCCTTAAGGGGTTAACAAACATTTAATGCTTGTCTGCAATATTCAGCAATTAGAAAGTTTTAGGTGTTCTTGTTCTTCCTTTGTTATATCCCATCTGAACCTAGTATGCCTTGTACTTACTGTATCCCATGGTTGAAGTGGATTTGGGTTTCTTTCCTGGTTTATATTAGCATCAATTTTCACGTTGGGGTAAATTTCAGGCTAATGTAGCTCTTTATGAATAAAATCTCTAAATAACTAAATAATTGAAAACCTGTAGCACTAGCAATGAGAGCAGATTGTTACACACCGTTTTGACATGCTACTGCTACTTCAATATTCACTGCAATTAATAAGCACTCAATAACTACACATTAGCATTCAAACCAGCACATTTAATTAAGAGGTGGATAAAAATTATCACAAGCTGCTATGTTTTCTAGATGTTCAACACAGGATTTCTCCTGCTGGAAAACACTGGACCGGGTTCTGATAAATTCCTGTTTTATGTTTGCTTTGTATATTTTTAAGCCATGTTTTAGGCTTGGAAAATGATACAAAACAGTTACATCAGATAGAGCCAATAGTGTGAACAAAATATAGTTCTATTAAACTGCCCAAAACAGACTATTCCAAAAACGCATGTTCTGATTGACACGACCCAAATAAAACTTTAAACAGAATAAATACAAGTGTTTATTTAACAGGATTACCATGACTGATATGACTATATATAAAAAGTTTGATTTTCATCTCCTATATGTGAAAATTTAACATCACCCCAATACCCTTCATATTCTTTAGTTGGTGTTTAAAACAATAAAATGTTTTGGGGGAAAATTTATCCTAGTATGCACTAATTGAACATTTAAATAAATACAGATTTTTCATGTGAAATAGTGGTGCTTAGAATAGGGAGAATGAAAGAATGTTTTTAGTATTAGACGTAGCAACCAGAGGCACAATAAGGTTATATGGCACCCAGGACGGAAATGTATATTGGCAGCCCCCTTTGATCTGCATTTTTTTCAGCCTTTTATTATACAAACACATGTACTCATCCTCACACACAAACATTCATGGGCACATGCTTACATTCATATACACATATAGAAAATGTATATACACACACACACACACGTATATTCACACACATACTCACAATTATATGCACACACTCAAATGCATATGCACACAATCAGGTATATTCACACTCATGTTCATCTTTAAAATAAATAAATAAAAACCTATGAGGGTCAATAAGACACCCATATTACTAAAAAGGAGGTATTTCACTTCCCTATACCACCACATGCTATGCAGCAACTGGGGGCATGTATACTGTGGCAAACTTGCCCTCACTACAAGCTCTTGAGGAGCCTGCTAGTTAACTGCCTGCCTCAGGACTATGGACCAGCTAAAAGGCTGTTAAAAGACATTGGTTTGTTGGATTCCTTGGGACTGTTCGGGAACCAAACCCACGAACTGCGGACCACCTCTGAGCTTATTGTTACGCTACTTGGGTGATTTGGATTGGAACTCAACTGCAGCTTGTGAACCTCCCTAATTACAATTGTGAAGAAACTGAGAATCTTTCAAGTATCAATACTGTAGCTTTAAGAAAAGAGAAAATCACTGGTAACTTTATTCAACCGAAGTTTTAATAAGTGTTTAACGTAAATGAATTGCATTTAGGCAATAATCCAATAAGAAGAAGTGCAAGTAATCAACAACACAAAGTTCATTATTAAGTATTTCCTCAGAGATGCATTAAGTAACATTCTTTAAGTTCATGAGAATAATCTTCAATAAAAACAATAAGCAAGTAGCTAAGAATATTTGCAAAGCAGGAACAGTTCATAGTTAATAAGCATGATGGGAGTTGTCCTCCATACAATTAGTAGCTTGAAGCACTGAGTATATTTGCAAAGCAAGAAACAGTTCATAGTGAATAAGCCTGATGGGAGTTGTCCTCCATGTAATTAGTAGCTTGTAGCAATGAAGATTTGAGTAAGCAAGCATTAGTTCATTAATAAAAGATAATGTAGACAAATAGCTGAAAGATATACTTAAGGTTAATCTGAGTTGTCCTCCAATAGTTTAGGGATATGGTCCACTTGTAAAGTAGCAAAGTATCCGTTCTCCAGTAATCCTTTATGGCATGCAGCAATCCTTGCATTGGCTCAAAGGCTGGAACAGCTTGTCTGAGCTTGTGGAGAGATAAGTCTGGTGGAAGTAGCTCCCAGTATCACCAAGCACCCTCTCTGTGGCACAGTCTCCCTAAATATCGTCAGAGCTGTGTCAGAGGAGGGCGGGGTCCGGCACTGACACTGACTAGGTGGCCGGAATTTGTATGCACGAATGCGTGGAAACTGTGTTGGTGGCCATCTTGTTCGCGAGAATGCAGGCGTTGATTGCGTGAAACTAAAATCGGACAGTGAAACTACCAAACACAGCTGAAATTGGATGAACACCTGCTCCTTCCCCACACACGTCAGGAGAGCACCATTCGGTAGGTTTGTTTGTATGGTTCATACGAACAAACGCTACCAAGAAGCCAGATTGTGTGTTCGGTATTTCTTTCACATGAAACTCCCGATGTTGACCGGCCAAAAGCACAAAATGCCCTGGAGCTGTTTTGGACATAGAACCATGTGTGCGGCAGATCAGAACTTTCACACGGTTGCATCTCGGCTCTGTTTGTAGGATCTGAGCGCCTTTTGGATATGTTGGGCTCTCAGATCCAGGCTATCCGGGGATGTATAGACTGAGGGGGTTCCTATGTGGGAAATATTTGTTTTTATAGTTTTTTATATTTGTTACTGTTTTTGCTGAGTCACAATGACAATGCATTTTGTGGACATTTTTGTGTTTATGGGCGTGTTTTTGGGAGTGTCTACTGTACGAGATTCTGTTATAGATTCTGTATAAATGTGAGCCATTTGGCTGGAAATAAACAGATCTATTTCACCCTTCACTAAGTCTCGACTAGTGTTTGGGTGATACCCTTTGGTAGTACCTATAATCACGTGGCGACTACAGTCTTCAGGAAGGAATACAGAACAGCTATTGCTACCCAATCACTAGAAAAGTCCTATATTATGGGGCTGGGGACCTTTGAAATAAAGGGGGGGGGGAGAGACATGATTTTGGCTATTATTATATTCCATGGTGATGGTCTCGTGCCCCACCTGGCCTTCCCCCATTGGTCATGAGTGGGGGCCCTAATAATAGTTCAGGGGGGAGGACCTCTTACCCTAGTGGGGGCTCTAATTAAATTCAAAATATTAACTCATACCTACTCAACAACTCTAACCTCTGCTACATATCTTCACTAATCCATAGTTACACTCTTCTCGGTCACTCTGCTATGCCAGTTATCTTTTCTTTTCCACTCCTTGTACTTGTACTGCTAACTTGATATTACAGGACTTCTTGTGGGCTGCTCCATTGCTATAGAACAGCCTGCCTTTTCCAATCAGACTCTCCCTTAGTCTTCAATCCTTTAAAAGTCCCTTAAAATCCATCTCTTCAGAATTCACACCCAGGGTAACAGTCATTCAAACCTATCTCTTACTCTCACTGAACTGTAGGTCCACACTTCATTTCACTCTCACTTTCCAATACTGCTACATGGCCATCCTGTCACTTGCTATCCACCATGCTGCTCTTCCTATAGTGATTCTATACCCAACTAGATTGCAAGCTCATTCAAGCAAGGTTCTCATCAACTTATTGTTCCTTTCAAAATGTGTAATAGTTTGTCTCATTTGTTGCTAAATTCCCCCTTTAAAATATTGAAAAGGTTAGCCGAGCACCAGACAAGATGCATTCCTGTGGAGCTCTGACTTAGACCATAGACAGGGGCTAATAAATCACTGTTTCCAGCTCCAAAAGACATCGAATAGCATGTCTCCCACCAGGGACAAGAATGGGTAGCAGGCATAAAAAAACCTTGCCCTCCAGAGACCCAAAGAATGCCAGGCTTTCCTTTGCGAAGCCTGCTCCTTCCACGTCCTCCAAGATGGCGCCTGCGGTGCCGAGTAGCGAGGGAAGCTCGGAGGGAGTACAAGATAATGGAGAAAGACTTACCTCACCTGAAATCAGTGAACAGGATTCCGACTCAGAGGATGACTCCTCACCGGCCACGAAAGGTGACATAAAGCCCCTCCTGATAGACCTGCGGAAGATCTGGAAATCAGACCTCAAGGAGACTCAAATGGAGATGAGGGTCCTCCACCAGCAAATTAAGGAGGTGGAGACCAGAGAAAAGTCTTGAGAGGGTCAGATCCTCAACACCCAGAGTCAGGAGAACAACCTATCCCAGCAGGTCCAGAAGCTTACTAGGACCATGTCCACACCGTAATCCAGGCACTGAAAAAAGAACATCTGAATTAGAGGCATTCCTGAGACAATCAGTGGTGACACCTTGCTGCCCTTCATACAGAGACTACTAACCTCCACGGGCCTTAAATGTAAAGCCGAACAAGCGATACAACTCTCAGCATTCAGAGTCCAAAAAGCTGCTACTGCCCCACCAGTTCGGTTCGGTTTGGCACTTCCGAAATTTGGGACTTTGGCAATTCAGCACTTTTGGTTCGGTTTGGCACTTCCGAAAATCGGGACTTTGGGAATTTGGTACTTTGGCAAATCCCTATTCCTACCTCTAACCCTAACCCTACCCCTAAACCTACCCCTACTCCGAACCCTACCCCTAACCCTAACCCTAGGGTAGGGTTAGGGTTAGGGTTGGTGTTAGGGTTAATGGTAGGGGTAGGGTTACAGGTAGGGTTAGGTGTAGGGATAGGCTTGCGGCTAGGGTTAGGGTTATTATTAGGGTTAGTGTTAGGGGCAGGGTTAGGGTTAGATTCCTGTCATCATTCCCTTAAGTTCCCCTCCCTCTCCTGTTTTGTCACTTTTCAGAAATCCGAAGCACTTCGGTAATTCAGCACTTCGGTTCGGCACTTGGGAAATTCGGCTATTCGGACATTTGGAAGCTTCCAGATGTCCGAATTGCTGAAATTCGTCCGAATTTATATTCGGACCGAAACGAATTGCACATGTCTAGTAGTCACCAAAGATGTATCCAGCAAGGCAACGATCATGAATCCCTCCAGAGAAAGTGTTGGCAATCTACAGTGATATACCATTAGCTGTCCTGCATAAAAAAAGGCAATTAGCCCCAACCGCTAGGCAACTGAAGGAATCAGTGATCAAATATCGATGGGGAGAGGATGGTTCCTTGATTGTCCCACGGGGGGACACCACATTGTCTTTGTCCTCATCTGGAGACTGAGTATCCTTCCTCCAGAGTATGAACTTGCCAGTTCCCCAACCTCGAAGAGCCCAGGAAGATGGGAGCTAAATTAGCCACAGCTATACCTACCTGTTCCAGTATAGAAGAGTGGCAGATGTGTTATTGGTATGATCTTTTGTTGTGCTATGCATTGCTTTTCTGTTCTTTTCCATGTTTTATAATGTTCTCAAATAAGGTAGACAAAAAACTACTGACAACACATCATACTTGAGCAAGTTTATAAGTTATAAGTTACAGTTGTCACCTATGCATACTCCTGCCTAATTCTACAAACGCAGTAATTAGTCATATATTTATGAACCATGACAGAGATGTATATTTTCTATATCACTGTTTGAAATACTCTTACACTGAGCCAGATGTATCATGAGTGTGGAAACTCGATTAAAACATAAATTTTAAAAAAATATTGTAAAGCACTGTGGAATAGGTTGGCGCTAAATAAATGCACATAATGATGACAATAATAATGACAGCAGTATCGGTTGTAGTCTGGAAGGAAGCCCAAACAAACATTGCATACATTACAATGCTAAAGCACAAGGATGTTTGTTAACTTGAAACATTCACAGTGCTGTAGAAGCTCTTGACAAAAGTACCCTTCAAGGAATATCAACTCTAGCTATCCTAGATCCTCTTAGACATCGTTATTCTTTATGAATGAATATATTTGCCTGTGACTTTCTGGTAACTCAAATCAGCAATACTGACAGAATAATAGATGAACTAAAAATGTTCCCTCCGTTTGAAGTTGGCTATACTGTCTTTTCAATTCCTTGAACAGTTTCAAATTCTTTTTTTTTAATAGGGAATTGGTAATGCAAAAACAGCTGTATCTTCATTAGTGCCTTTGAAAACAGTAACCATGACAACAAATAGTGATAGATATTTCGTGCTGAGCTGCACAACCCACTAATTTCTGCGTGCCTACTTCATCAAAGGTAAATTAACATCCAACAGATAAACACGGATGTGTTTCATACTTTGCAAAAAGCAATCCTTTTATATTTTTGCAAAGGGAAATGATAAAATTTTTAAGAAAGTGCTACAAAATAGTGTTGTTTTTAAAAAGATCTCTTAATCGCCATGAATTTATATTGCTAATACTTAAAACTGATGTAGTTGTTTTTATGGTATACTACTTGGAAATTCCAGAACTTGATTAGCAAATTCAACATGCACGCATAAGAATTTAGAAATAAAATGCAAAGCATTATGAGACATAACTGAAAGCTTACAACATTTAACTTAGTTTAGTTACTAGAGGCAACACATATTTTAAATAATGTTTATTGCCTACCAGTAGCAGGCATTAATAGTAAAATAATTCCTAGATTAAAGTGACACTCCAAATCTCTAAAGCATTAAATCCAATGCTTCTTTATAAAAATAATCATTCACATTCACATCATTTCACATCATAATGTTGTGTGAGATGACACTGAGGTGTAGGTCTTTAGAGACTTAAAGGGACAATCGAGGCACCAATACTACTTTAATGCATTTCATAGGCATTTGCCTCATTAATATGCTGTATTTTTTTTTTTGCATGCTTAAATGTTTATAGTTTTTTGCAAAAAATAAAGAAATGTTTTGCAGATGCTGCACCATAAGCCTGACTCTTTGATTTCAATGATTTGAAAAATAAAATAACCTGCATTATAAGGAGAGGACAGCTAGGGAGGCAAATAGTCAGGATATCACTACCTGTTTGTAGTTTCTCTGCCTGTCTGCTGCCAGGCTGTGCATTAGAAACAGTTCACTCAGTGCTGTTGGGGCTGGGACTGTGAGCATACGTTTGATAAGGAAGTATTTTTCTGGCATGAGGGATTGTGGCTAAAGAGGCAGGCCTATGGTGCAACATTCTATTTACTCCAGATTAAGCTCTCTCAAGTGGAGCTCTGTTTGAATATTAAGGTGTGGGTAGGGAATTATCATTATTTTTCATACCTACCTTTCTGTTCCTTATAATCACATTTTACCAACACACCAGCTTACTGGATCTCATCTCCATCGTCCTACTTTATCTCTACTATTATATCTACTCCTACCATATATTTACTTTTTGAATATTTCTAATATTTCTAATATCTCTAAATTTCAAACTTTTAATCTGAATGTTGAACTCTATCCTTTTGATCTGGAAGCTTGCTAAAATGAATATATATAAGCCAGAGGGCAGACCTCCTATTTTTCTCCTTTTTCATATTTCACTTTCACAAGTCACTTTTTTGTTTCTCACTTTGCTTTTCTTTTTCAATATTATATAGATTTGTCTTTTTACTATTATTAATAACGTTTATTAATATTTTTTTTTTGTTTTTTTTACCAACCATATTGAGTCACACATTTCTCATGTGGGTAATTTAACCTTTTTTTTTTTTTTTTAAAGGAGTTGTTAACCATAGTCTTTGACTTGGGATCTTTCTCTCAAAGAAAGATTTGTATTTCTATTTTTCAATATTGTCTTTTTTGTGAAGTTCATGTTACCCACTTAGTCCTTTCTTGACTTTAAGGCCAGATTTCTCCTGCCCCTATAGCTTTGCATTTCCCAAAATCTATCAAATGCATTAACGTTGTATATTAGAGCTGTATTTTAAACTCTGGAACAAAATTTTAATCTATTTAGCAGTTTTTTTCATTAGCTTTCGTAGATAAGTAAAAGATTTTTCAAGTAAAAGTCCAAAAACGTGTTTTTTTTTTAATTTTTCACCATATTTTATTATTTTTTTTAAAAGTAAAATATATGACATGATACAAATAATGGCATATAAAGAAAGCCCTTCTTGTCCTGAAAAAAACAATATATAACTTGTATGGGAACAACAGTAAATGAGAGAGCGGAAAATTACAGCTAAACACAAACACCACAAAAGTGTTGAAACTGCTCTGGTCCTTAAAGTACAACATCACAAAAACAGGCCGGTCCTTAAGGGGTTAATAACATGCTTGTGTTGTGTTTGCTTGAAACCTATCTCTGGTGTCTCCATAAATGGGATACCAGGAGACAAAAATGCCAGGAAAGAGTACTGTGCATTTGGTTGGAGCCAGATTATGGGATTGCGTGTTTGTAGAGTGAGCTGATTGTGGTGTAGTTTTGTGTTAATAGGTTAGTTTCAGTCATGTTGTGTTTGTGGTGTAATGTAATGTATGTGTGTCTAGGTGCTGTAGAGAGTGTGTGTGTATAGGGGCATAGTGTGTATAGGGGATGTTGCGAGTGTGTGCACACAGGCTGTAGTGTGTGTGTATAGGTGATGTAGTGTGTGTATGGGTTGTAGAGAGTGTGTGTTTAGGGAATATAGTATGTGTTTGCTTACAAGGAATCTAGTGTGTGGATAGGGGATCCAGAGTGTGTATGTCATAAATGTTGTGTGTGCGTGTGTGTGTGTGTGTGTAGGGGATCTAGTTTGTGTTTGAAAGACCCATACTTCATATAGGAGATCTAGTGAGTGTGTGTAGAGGATTCAGAGTGTATATAGGGATCTAGTTTGTGTCTGGAATGTAATGTGTTTAGGGGTGCAGTATGTGTGCGAGGGGTTCTGTAGTATAAATACATATATGTTTAGAAGTATTGCGTGTGTGTGTGTGTGTGTGAGTGGTGGAGTGTGTTTGGGGGCTGCTGTGTGTAGTGTGCAGTGTGTGTGTGAAGTGTGTAGTGTGTATGTGTGGGTGGTGTAGTGTGTATTTGAGAGGTTTATAGTGTGTGTGTGAGGGGTGCAGTGTGTGTGTGAGGATACTGTGTGTGTACTGTGTGTAGGTGCAGTATGTGTGTGCTGTGTGTGTGTCGGTGCAGTGTGTGTGTGTTAGATGTGCAGTGTGTATGTGTGAGGTGTGCAGTGTTTGTGTGAGGGTGATGTGTGTGTGTGAGTGAGAGAGTGATGTGTGTGTTTGGGTGTTGTGTGTGAGAGGATGTTGTGTGTGTGTGTGTGTGTGTGTGTGAGGGAGCTTTGCGTGTTTGGAGG